TAAAATATATGTTTATCAAATAAAGTCTAATGTTACAACTAATCAGGGATCCCTTTAAAAATGGAGTTTGATAACATTARCTGTACAGTTACTCTATACAGTCGTGTTTAAATTAATAATAATTATCTGTGTATTTTATTTTGAAATCTGTCACATTTTATGCACCTTCTTGAAGACTGTGAGTCTGTGTTTGGTTTATTCTTTAAAAATCTTTATTTTATTGAGTGACACAGTCAAAGAGGAGGTTTTAATTTTAAAATCTTCTGATGAAGAGGAGACTCACAGAAGGTGGCGGCCTTTATTTCTCTCTGCTGCCTGAACGTTTTCACCGATCCTCGCACTCGGAGGACATCTCCGATCTCCAGCTGGCAGCGTTTGTGGTGAGATTCTCTGAGTTTCTTCAGCTCGGCAGCTAGGTCCAAGCCCCGCTGAACCCCATCGCCACGATTCCCACCTGCTGCAGGTCAGAAAACAAGATGCAAACAGAACTTGAATAAAAACAGGAACATACAGAAGTCTCCATCCTCTAGTGTGAACGTCAGAGTTCAAATGACGACATGACCGCTGAATGATGTCCAAAACAAATGGAAGCAGAACGACTCAAACTGACACTTGAGCACACGATAACTCACATTTATCTGCATCTTTAAGCAGCTTACTCTTCCAGCACATGCAGTTTATAACACCGGTACCATCATCCACTGTCAACACARGAGTCTCACTCAAAAAGCAACAAATAAAAATAAGATAACGTTGTCGATGACTCAGACACTTCCTGAACCTCCATAACAGAAGAAGTCGTCTCTCTCCCTCCTGTAGACCACCGTCCCGAGGACATCGACCTTGTAGATGGGATGCTTGTTGTAGAAATAAACTCCTTTAAACAACAGGAAACACTTCAAACAATWGATAAACAAAAACAGATTAAAATAAACTGATGGTAAAAACTTAAACAGAACCAAAGTACAGAATTACTGGTACCTGGATGAACTGTGTGTTTTGTTACCTGGATGAACAGTGTGTTTTGTTCCCTGGTACCTGGATGGACTGTGTGTTTTGTTACCTGGATGAACAGTGTGTTTTGTTCCCTGGTACCTGGATGGACTGTGTGTTTTGTTACCTGGTACCTGGATGGACTGTGTGTTTTGTTACCTGGATGAACTGTGTGTTTTATTACCTGGTACCTGGATGAACTGTGTGTTTTATTACCTGGATGAACTGTGTGTTTTATTACCTGGATGAACTGTGTGTTTTGTTACCTGGTACCTGGATGGACTGTGTGTTTTGTTACCTGGTACCTGGATGAACTGTGTGTTTTGTTACCTGGTACCTGGATGAACTGTGTTTTATTACCTGGATGAACTGTGTGTTTTATTACCTGGTACCTGGATGAACTGTGTGTTTTGTTACCTGGTACCTGGATGAACTGTGTGTTTTGTTACCTGGTACCTGGATGAACTGTGTTTTATTACCTGGATGAACTGTGTGTTTTATTACCTGGTACCTGGATGGACTCTGTCATCTGCAGGATATCTTTGACGTAGAGCCGAGAAAAAGCAGAGAAAATCGGGTCCAGCCCCCACAGTATGGAGGGGGGTTCTTCAGTTGGATCCATCGCTTTTGTTTGCATTTAATCATGAACTCAAACCTACATTTACCTTAATTTTACTCACCTATCTTTCTCTGACAGATGCTAGCTTTGGACTGATGGCTAGCTAGCTAGCTAAATGCTAACTCCAGAAAGATTCTTTATACAAAGTTACTAATCGGCGCTTTTTGTTAAAACTTAAGGTAGTTATATAAAAGTGTTTTTAAGAAAAAGCATTTAGGAGGTTTTAGCATAAAGACATTCTATGATCAAAATGAAAACGATAAATGTTTTTGTTCCAGATTAAACCACGCCTCCTTTTGTTGCAATGGCTTCTGGGATACGTAGTTTCACGAGCACTGAGTGATTTAATCGTAGTTTTACAAGCTAGCTGGTAKAAATAAATTATAACTATAAACTAATAAACGATAAACTCGGTAAAAGCAGGAAAAAGGCAACATAGTAGTTATTTTTCTATTTTATTCTCGTTAGCCCAGCGCGTCTTTGTTTCGCAGTGGCTTATGGGAAATGTAGTTTCTCAGACACAAAGTGTATTGTTTATTGTTGTTCGAAGCTGTTGTGTCGCTGTTTGGTGCAGCTGCGTCGTAACAAAGAAGCTGCACGCCACTTCCATTATTTTTATTTGTTGAAAACCTGTAAGATGCCTGTGTTGTGTTTAAATTAATAAAGAATGACGCTTAAATCACCCGCCAATCGTCAAAGCAGGCGAGCACGAGGATAGAACTACATACAGCCTCGCGCTCGTGAACGCGCTCGGATACTAAATCCGCTAGTCTGGAGCCGTCTGTCCTGCACAGACAGAGGGGAAAATGACTCTTTTAACGATTGTAAGGATTTTTAACACGCAGGGGGAACATTTATGTTTCTCCTCTTCAAAACATCGATGAGTTACCGAGGTGGGGAAAACGAGCGGATTGGAAACGAGGCGTTTTTGTGGATTTTTTTGTTGGATTAAAACGGAGCACCGCGGGGTTGTCGGGCCAGTTTAGAGTTGGAACAACGACCAGTTTCCTGTAACAGATCCACTGCTTTGGAGGAAAAACAGCTTTCTGGCACTTTTAGCTGCTTCCACGCGGCCAGGTTGTTATTTTAGTTTARATAATGTCTCAGATGTGTGAAACAGTTGTAAGACATTCATTGGACTAGAGTCAAAGGCTCGGTTCCGGTCCAGACTGTTCTGCTGGTCCTGGGTCTGTTTACATCCACCTGCCTGCCTCTTTCCTTCGTGAACCTTAGGTTGGGAGGAGACATGTCCTTCTTCAATTTCCGTAAGATTTTTAAACTCGGGGCGGAGAAGAAGAAGAAGCAGTATGAACAYGTGCGCAGGGACGAAAACCCGGAGGAGATCTGGGAGATCATCGGAGAGCTGGGAGATGGAGCGTTTGGAAAGGTTTTCAAGGTAGGAACACTGTCTCCTTACGGAGTCCTGCACCTGTCCAATATGTCTTTATACACCTGTCCAATATGTCTTTATACACCTGTCCAATATGTCTTTATACACCTGTCCA